AAACACTAAGATTCAATGTCTTTTTGCTGGCCCTTACTTTGGTAGAAGTGGGCAGCTACTGTTATATAAAAGGAAGTCACAATGAAGAATGTAAATTTTCAAAACTCAAGGTAATAAAACTCAACCCTTCTGCAGAAACAATATGAAGAGCTCAAAGATGAGAGGGATAATTTAAGGTTTACAGAAAGAGAAGCAGGAGAGGAAATTTGGAGGTGAGAAAGCGGGAGAAAGAATATTTGAATTAATCTCTTTATGTGAAAAGGAGGGAGAAGTATGGGTCTGTGCACCCTAAGATTAGGCTAAACTAGTTAAAACTGACATCATGCATAAACCTGTAACGAAAGCACTTTCTGAGGCAAGGAAATAGGACTTGGAGAGGATGAAACTGAGCTTTTTTTACCCTTTAGAAGTACATCATTGTAAACATAAGCAGGACAGGACAGTACAACCACCAAAAAGTTATAGGCAGCTATAATGCTTTTTACCAAATTAGTGAAAACTGCTGACACCAAAACAGCTATTGCAAAAAAGAATCTTAGTTTTCTGACTACATTAGGGAAGATGCCACGGCATAATTAAAATCAGAAGCCATGAAAGTTTCTTATTTAATTTTAAAGACACGATTTACAAATGCTTAATATTATACTTAATGGAAAACACTGCAGTGTGAAGCTAGTTTGAAAGGGTGCAATCAAAGATCTGGGAATAAATTCAGGCCTTGCTTCACCTTAGCACTCAATAAGTCCAAGTTTCTCCAAGGTAATTAAACAAATTCTTCCAAATGGCATCAAGATTACAACTAAAAGCACATTATTTTTAGTCTTTACAACCAGAAGTCAGATGTCCCTCTGTGCAAGCTGCCACTTGCTCCCTCGTGCCCCCAAGATGTCTGAACAGCAGCTTATTCATGTTCAGGAGCAAAACCCAACAGTTTTTGCAGATGCTGTTTCAAGCAGCATTTATCAGATTATCACTGGAGCCTAATTAGTTCATAAACTATGTTATGAATGGATAGATGTGAATTCTATGAATAGATTGATCTCCAATACAAAGTGATACAATGCTTTACAAACCCCGAGCACGATGACATGACTCATTTTAAGACAGGCTCCTGCATTCCTCATTCATAAGTTCACACCACTGTGTAATCAGATTTAAACACGTGTGAACCATGTTCTTTTTCAATTTAATTTCTAGGGAACTGAATATAAAAGACAAACACAAAGTTAAATGGTACATTTGAGAAAGAAGGTCTTATTTAAGATTGAACTTTGTACAACTGGTAAGTGAAGTCCAAAGAAGTTATAAGAAAAAATCAGTAGCATCAGTTTCACTGAAAGGTCTTAAGATTGAACTGTTGTACAACTGGTAAGTGAAGTCCAAAGAAGTTATAAGAAAAAATCAGTAGCATCAGTTTCACTGAAAAAAAAATGAATAGTTTGAATTTGTATTTTGCATAGCAATACTAGTAAATGTTGATTTTGCTACAACTTTCCAATAAGAGCATTGCTGCCCTAATTGTGTTGGCTAGGGGAGTTTTCAAAAATAACTGCACTAGTAAATTCCTAATGAGAACAAGGGTTCTGTGTAAGTCTCAAAGAAGCAAAGTCTGCATGTGAAACCAAATAAAAGTTACTCTGACAACAACTTTTCAAATATATGGAGGTAAAGTTGAGTTTTGATTCTGTGTGCATGAAAATGCTTTTAAATGCAAGCAGGAAAGATGAAAATTATTAAACTTTTGTCAGGTTATCAATATGACTTGGCTCAATTTGGTTAGCTTGTCAGAGATTGGAATGGTATTTAGTTGTGCTGGAAATGTTGATGGAAGAACGCTGATTTATTTGCCATTAAATAAAAAATGTGCTAGGAATGTGTCAGTTCTAATAAATAAGTAGGTGTCTCCTTAAGACAACAAATCCTCAGGAGTTTATAAATTCAAAGGAAGTAGTCTGTAGTCTATTTTATCTATAAATTTATGGCACCGAAGAACTAGATACCAGGAGTTAGGTATAAATAATAAAAAAGTTTTAGACTATAATTTACTTGATAAATACTCCTGTTAAAATTCAGACAACTGTAACTTTGTCTTTGTTACCTATGTCTTCATGACTGTTCTCTATGAATGTTCCTGTGTATAAACACTAAAATCCACATTATTTCAGCAGTAAATAAACTTTCATCACTATGATAAATCAGTATCACTCAACTATGTACTATGGTTTTAATACATTAACTCAGATAATGACAAAGAGAAAACATCATAATAAATGAACCCCAGGAGGGAAAAAACAATCATTTGGAGTTTCAATCCCCATTCAGAAAACCATTTAAATGAGTATTTAAAGCTCTTCTTGCTCTAGGAGAGTACTTGAGTGTCCTCAGTTTTAAGGTCATGACAGAACTGCATTTCCTGAAGTTGGAAAATAAAAATGGGTAGTGAAGAATAATAAGACAACTTAATAGATCCCTACTTGCAAAGTAGAGCTGTAATGCCAAAGGAAAAGCAAATTAGTAGTACTTAACTGAGGTTGTAGTCCAAGAACGAAGTCTCATGTGATGTACATTTTACTTTAACCCAATAGAATACCTAATTCTATCTTAGTGCCATGCTAGGTTGGTTGGTAGTGAACAGGGATTTACTTCTTTCAAAGGTATAAGTCAATCACAATTTAGAGTTGGGGTGAGCTTCCAGTAGCACACAGAACAGCTGCAGTGGTTCACCTAATGGGTGGCAATTTGCTAAAGTGAAGCAATCAGTCTGCAATATGCCAACATTAATAAAAATTTAAATTATTCAGGGTAGATCCCAGATTAAAAAAATATTACAACAAATTTTGTTGCATTAGTAGACTCCCTTGTTGGATTCTCTAATGGATGCTGGAAGCCACATATGGCATGCTTTGGCAGCTGCTACATTTGATTTGCTTGGGTTTGCTGGGATGTAAAGAATTGTTTTCAAAAAGATAAAGTCTGTTAAAGGCACAGCTATAATAACTTTGGCTCCCCAAAAGGTAGGAAAAGATCAGCATAGGTTTTGTGTTAGTGACTTGCAAGCCAAGCAACAGGTTCTAACTTCAGCTGTGTGACTCCTCTGTGGATCTTGGCACAAGATTTTCTTTACTGCATTTGAAAATGGGAAGAATAAAACTTATGTGCATACAGAGCTTGAGATCCAAAGAGAGAAAGTCACAGAAAGTCCTAGCCAATGAAATTTGGATTTCTGTATGAGTTCAAAACATCTGGGATGTGAAATGATACCAATAGGGAAGTTGTTATCAAAATCCATGGGTCTGTCAGGCCAGATTAGAGGACACCATCTCATGAACCTACACCACACGATGTGAAGGTGTGACCAGAAATCGTACAAACATGCCAAAGGCCACCAAAAACCAGCTAATGGGCAGCAGTCATGATGAAGGTTGGGCAGGATTGCCCTCAGCAGTGAGAGGCTGCTTAGACACTTACCTGAAGTCTCAGTCACGTCCTGAAGCACACGTTGAATGCAGAGTCCTGCTGTAACATTTGAGCTTGCCAACCTATGGCTACTTAGATGAGCGTGCAAGAGCTGTGATCACATCTCTGAATTGCAGTGTAGACACACCATCTGTTCCTAAGTGGTGAACTTTACATTGCCTGTAACACCTCAGGAACAGTCTTATTTTAAGCTATGGCTTACAGTTCTCTAAAGAAGAGTAGTCCCCCTTTTTTTTGGCTATATTGTTTTGCTATCATACAGGCAAACCAAGCACAAATTACATTCAGGTTCCCTAATCTCTATTATTCCAATGAGATCCAAATTTTAGCCCTAGAACCATCCAAATTCTACTTCAAAATGAATTAATTTGAAATCCACAAAGCTTTTCAATGTTAAGTGCAAATAATTTCAGATATCACTCTCAAGGTTAAGTACATCCTTTTAATCCCAAAGTAATTTTGTTAAAAGGTATTTGAAGGCAAAATGACTCTTCCCTCCCCAAAATGTGACCAAATTATGTCAGCAGCTTTGCCTGAAGCCAGGCAGTGTATTTTGCATACCTGTAAAGCTGCAGGAACAGAAAGGTCAGCAGTGCAAGCAGCAGGGTACTGACAGCAGCAAGAGGAACACGCAGCTGTTTAAATGCAGCAAACTATGTAGCTAGTATAATTTTTGGAAGGATATTCTTATTTCATAAAGTCAATTAAAAACTGGAAGTAATATTACAATGTGCATTACATACAAACATTTAAAATATGGAAAGCAACTCTCTGTTGTTACTTTCAGGGACACTGAAGCTGTTACAAGTTTACAAGTGCTGGGCTAAGAACTCACATACTCCAATGAGCACTGTTATTTCCTTTAAATGCTTTGACATCTGGGCAACAGACATGAACTGGATTTAAGAAGTTTATCTTCCTTTAGTATGACACTTAACATATGACTCTAATACCTGTTAAATGTTTTAGGGAGTGCATGTTGTGTTCTGCCTTCTCATATATGAAACAGAATGAGGAGTACTGGCCATAAAACTTTCCAACACTGGACAGCTGGGCAGCATCAAACAGCCTGAATCACTCAGGATCCTTCCAGTTCCTCTTACCCACCAGGCTTATGAGAGCACAGGAGGGATTTAAGAGTGCTAGAAGCCATCAGAGAAGAGACTATTTGTCTTGACAAATTCCTACCCTTTTTGCCGTAATTTACCAACCCACACTGTCAATGACAGCTGCCTGACCAAGATGAACGAGCCTTCGTGATAGCCATTTCTTGTGCTGTTTGGTGTCAAAGAGGTTCTGCTGTACCTCTGAAAATGAAAATCACAGAAGAAGGCAACAGCTACCTGCAAGTTGTAGTCCTGAAGAATTTTCACCAGTGAGTCTCTCAAATTAGGAATCTCCATGCCTTCCTTAATTCGGTGGATCAGAAGAATGGGATCGACATGGGTTCCAATATTGTTCAACAAACCAGTAATGAAAGCTGTGAAGATCAAGAGGCAAAGAAAGTAAGACGAAAATCCAGAAAAATACTACAATTACTTTGAGGATGGTGAGACACTGGAACAGGTTGCCCAGAGGAGTTGTGGATGCCCCCTCCCTGGATATGTTCCCCAGGTCAGATGGGGCTCTGAGCAACCTAATGGAAGATTGCTCAGTGGAAGGTTTGGTCTAATGGAAGGTGTCCCTGTCCATGCCAGGGTGGTTGGAACTAGATGATCTTTAAGGTCCCTGTCAATCCAAAGCATTCGATGATCCTATGAATACCTGATGTTAAAGGCTGCTCTAGTGACAAGGTAAAGGCTTTAGCTGTTTCTTACAGTTCTCTACTAAGAGAGGACACTAAGCCCTTTTTACACAGCCTTTCATATGTCTCTTGCAGCTGTATTTACCCGAACACAGGCTTTTGGGGAAGAGGAAGATACAGTTTGGCAAGCTGCAGAACTTCCAGGGTATTCAGAAAATGGGTGACAGTGTATCCAGCACAAACCAACAAGTAAATAATGCATTTCAACTCCTTAAAAAGGGCCAGTAGAGCATTCCCAGTTCTAGGGTTTATAAACAAGTTTTCAAGCACTTAACCTAACTCCAACATGTTTGTAAACATTGAAAAGAGTGAAGTGCACCTGGCTAAAGAAAACACTAGGAGGATGAACCTCAGAGCACCACTGGAGTTCCTCTGCATACAGGCAGATGGAACTGAGAGAATTCTATACACTTTGAGTCCCTTCTTAACATCTTTAGATGTCACTAAATACAGATGACTGTGTTTAAGTATGGGTAACTTGAAAATACCACTCTTCTAAAAGAGTAACGTTTTGTTGCTTCTTCTTGTCAGAATTAGCTGCCAAGGGATGAAAAGGTATGTATCCTGACACTAATTCTACAAGACATTCAATCCTTCAGAAAAGAGATCCCAAGAGAGGCTTTAAAGCCTTGAGTTAAAGCCATAGAAGAGGCTGCAAAACTAATGGAGTAGATAATTACAATAATTCTCTGTTTTCTCAGTCCTATGAACTCCTCTGAACCTGTCTCCTAAACAAAACTGATGGTGCTTATGAGATTCAGATAGTTTCTAATTCCATCTAAACTTTAAACTTGAGTAGCTATTAAAATAATGGATGAAAGGCAAAATGTACCCACTATTACAGATCTTACTTTTGTCCCACAGAAACAAAACAAGTTAAGTATTCTGTTGAGGGCTAGAAAGGTGTAAGTTCTTCATTTTCAGAATTTCAAAGGAAAGCAGCTGCAATAAACACTCTACATAACAACCTCATCAAGCCTGCAGACTGTCTTCTGAGGCTGTCTAAAAATAAAGCCTCATTCCACCAAATTAAAAGCACCATTCTCCCCTTGGTTTGTCATTAAGGACGTAACTATGCAGAGCTTAGGCAAATGCTAACCCCCCAAGTACTCATTCTGCAGCATGCCCACATGCTGCCCTACTGGCAGTTTTTAGGCACAGTAGGACAGCTTTGTTGTGCTCCACAAACCAGAACTCCTCCCTGGTCCTCCATAAACACCTCCTCTAATATGCACACGGATAATTCAATCCTCTCACTGCAACAGCATTCCCACCAGAAAACAGCCCCAAAGGGCTCCTGAGAACCCATCCAGCTTACGTGGCTTGTCGATAGAATATAAAATGAGGTCTTCCCAAAGTTCTCCATCATCTTGCTCCTTGGCAAATTCAATAGCTTTGTCTACATCTTGCAATTCTTCCATTATCATCTTCAAGGCACTACGACTATTTCCCATTCTGCCTAGAAGGACAAAAAAAGCAAAAGATGTTAGAAATCCTAGGTGATTATCAATGCTCAGTGTTTAAAGAACCTCTTTCAATATCAATTTTATAAGTGTGAAGTTGCTTCCCACTAATTCAACCATTACCAAATCTAATCTGATGGAATGTCAATCCCAGAGCAATTGGTATAAACTCAACTAGTGCTTGGAATACCTTGCTCAACTGGGATCTGAAGCCTTTTTTAAAGGTGTGTTGGGTCATATCAGGGGTTCTGGACTGCAGCAACATCTAATGTAAGGAGTGTGTGTCTATCTAGGCATGTAAACTATGCCGTGACATACATACACCCTTTAAGAGCCCTTGTGGGCACTCTTAATTTGCAGTAAGCATAGCACAGCTTACACCCATGGAAAAGGAGAGGAGGGAAGAGGAAGAAGCACTAGAAATACTGAACTATTATTTATAGAAATCCAGGAGTAAATCCTACTCTGCTCTCAAATGGTACACAAAATATTCTTTTTATTGAAAAAAAAGATTGACTAAAATACACTGTTCATTCTATTCAGGACTAATACAGAAACATCCATTAAAATCTTAATCTTGCAATGCCTCCCATTCAGAGGCAGATTCCTTGGCCTGTTGGGGGAGTTAATTTACAATTAATTTTTTTAAAAAAAAGAAATAAAGAAAAGAAGCAAGGCAACATAAGCAAATCTTCGATCTCAGCAAAAGATAGTACTTGGTTCCTGAGATATATTCAGAATAAAATACTTGTCTTACTTCTCCAGTCTCTTCAAACTGACAGTACTACTCTTGGCAAACAGTCTCAAAAGATAATTCCATTCCACCTGCTCCCCATAGCCTCCCAGCACCTCCAAAACCCAAAAAAAGATCATATCAGAAACACAGTAACACAATATATGGAGTTTAGGCATCGTATGAAAAATCCAGTATTTTGGTTTACTTTCTAAATCATGTTATTTAGTTTTACTGACTGCACACCAACTTCACCTCTGGGAAAGTGTGTTAAATGGTATTGGACAATAAGTCATATAATTTTGCAGCATGTACCTTATGACAAGACGTTATGAATTATCACACAGAGCATTACTTACTCAGAAGATAGACTGTCTCCTCTACAAAGTTCCTCTGTTGGCAGATTTCAAGAGCCTTGAATTTAAGGGAAGGAAGGAGGAGAAAAAGAATACAGGGAATCACATAAAATGGTATTTTATTGATCACAAATGCTGAAAGAAGTTTAAAGATATTTTCCATGAAGTTGCATTACTCATTTTCACAGGAACATAGCTCCCTTAATATGCACTGTCAGGTCCTCTGACATTAATTAAGAGGAGGAACTCCACAAACTCCACAGGGGATTTTTTTTGGAAATTATTTTCCTCCAAGATGAAATAAATCTGGGGAGAGGACAGGTATTTCAGCCTGGATTATGCTCATGTCTACCTTTAAATCTGCTGTCAACTTATTTCTTCTGCTTCCAAAAAGTTGGCTAATCCAAAAGCATAAGGTTAACTGCTGTCAAGACTTGTTTCCTGGGGGTGGCTTTGTAAGAACTCTAGTGATGGACTTCTGCTTGACATTCGTTCATAACACAAGACTGTAGATCTCCTCAGGGTAACCAGAATGGTTTTGTGAGGTAGAGAGTGCCCTCTAAATTTTCTACCAGTGACCTCCAAGCAAACAATACAAAAATAATCTAGTGAAAATATTGAAGAATATGGATTTCTTGTAATAATAAGTAATAATCATTTCTTGTAAATTTGGTTTAAAGACCTGAGGGCTAAATACCATAAGCAGTTACAGTGTGTTTGTAATTGAAAAACATTTAACACAATTACCAAAACTACCAAGCTGTTTATCTACAAGATTTTAGTAAAAGAAATATAGTAGTGTTGGTATGTCGTAAACAATGTCATGTCTATTTCCAATTTGGAAGCAGAAAGCAAACTCAAGATTCATGATGTTCTTGTGAAGGCAACAGTTTACCAGTTAAGACTTTCATACCTAGAAATCAAAATTATAATTGCATAAGATACGGCTACAGCTAAAGATGTGGGTAGCAATTAACGTTCCTTCCATTCTCAACTTACTTCAGATGGATTGGTATGAAGATTAGAGATACAGACAATGAATTTGAGAGCAGGGGTAAGTGAATTACCAACCAGATACTTCAGAGGAATGAAGGTATGAATAACAGCGATAAGTCAGAATCATAGCTGACAGCCTTTTTGCTCTCCACTATGAAGTTAAACTACAAAGGACCAGACACTCAGGAGTTCTGGACACTGCATGTTTCCTGACTGCCACACTCCCTCTAGAGGAAAACAGGGAACACTCACACTTTATTTCTCTTTCAGTTCATTTTATAAAACATTTGCTAAATGGCACTTGAATAAAAGGTGGCTTACTTTTCAAGAACAAGAATTATTTCTTCCTGCTAGTTTATAATTCCTTTGAAGCAATAGTAAGTGTGAATTTGTTCAAACATTACAGCTTTTTTTGCTATTTATACACTGCACTGGAATCTGCTTAACAAGAACTGAAAACACTGGTAACTGGGGAAATTCTTAGTTCCTTTATTGTTTCCTTTGAAGAAAGATTTGTATGTGGCAAAAGGTGTTACTATATGTTATGTATGGTGAGGAGTACAATTATAGAATTAGCAGTGTCAGTAGATTCAACTAAGTTTTATAAAGCAATGGTATCTTTCCTCTCTTAGCTTCTTACAGCACCACATAAGTATTTTAACATTAAGGTTAGAATGACAATTTTCTAACATCTTTTTCTCTCATTTTGGTGATTATTGTATAAAGCATTGGTATCTTTCCTCTCTTCCTTAGCTTCTTACAGCACCATATAAATATTTTAACATTAAGGTTAGAATGACAATTTTCTAACATCTTTTTCTCTCATTTTGGTGATTATTGCACTGTAGCTTCCAAAGGTTCACAGGTCTCTGACATACTTGTGCTGACAGCCTGTAAGTTCAGCACAGCAGTGCCAGCAGTGAGCTCACATCATTTACACACAGCACTTTCCTACACCACCCACCACTGAAGATAGGTGGCTGGATCTGTAATAACTAAAATTAATTTGCACCAAAAGAAAACAAAGAAAAAGTGCAGGTAAGGTTTGATATGTAAAACTATGACCACAAGAATAACACGTAAGGCAAAACCTAAGAAAGAACTCGAGAGTTAAAAACAAACAAGCCAACACTGTAGATAAAAGTTTCTGGCTGGAAATCTCTCAGGCTCATTGCCTAAAGGTCACTGAGACATCTTGGCTTCATGTGACAGTTTCAACAAAGAGCAAGCCTTCAATCCTAACAAAGTA